GGTGTTGTTAGCTTGGCGCATCGACACTGTACAGCAAATTTTTAAAAATTTTTGAGTATGAATTGTCAGAAAACACCAAGCACTGCTTTGCTGTATTTTTGCAGGCAATTTGTTTTAGGCAGATTTTTACATTTTGACCCGCCGAAAGTTTAATTTAGATTTTCGTATCGACAAATACTTTTACTATTTACCTGTTCAAATGGACGCAGTACCGCACACAAGAGTCATTGTCAACTTTGGACCACATCCTTATACAGTTTTTAGCTCATCACATATTATTTCAAGATAGGTTGGTTTAAGTGGCGAGTTTAACAACTCCAATTAGTACTTATGCAGACCGTTTTAAAATTACTTTTCGCAATTTAACCTGAACAGAAAGACAACACTAAAATTACAGAAATCGGTTACTTCTCTCCAATCCAGGCCGTAGAGTTCAAGAACCCAGGAAGTTGATAATAATATAATAGATTGGCGCTGACAATGTGTTAGTGATAGGCCGATCTTCTCCTCCGGCCGCTGTGGTGTAGTGGTCAGCAGTTCCGCCAGTTTTTTTTTCTAATAACGGTACCCCTCGGCAGGCTATCCCAAACCTCCGAGTGTATTTCTGTCATCAAAAACAGCTTTTCATAAAAATACAATCGCTGTTCGGAGGCGGCAGAGAGCCAAGTGCCTTGATCGCTACCTAGCTATCCGAGAAAATAGAAATACGGTAACTTTAACCTTTTTTTTCTTGAAATTAGGGTGGTGCGTAAAAATGTTTGCGTTTCAAAATTTCAATAGCGATGGATCAATGTTGCTTTTGGACGTCAATATAATATCTTTAACAATTTTCTAAAATCGGTTAATATATTTTGTCTCCCCTTTTTTATTTTTTTTTTTATATTATTTTACAAAAATTTTTGGTATACAGTTTTAAGGCCATTAAAATTTAGCATAAAAGTGCAAGTTTAAAGTAGCTAGCAAATACCGCTGATTTTTGGCTTTTTTTTTTTGTTACGCATTTCATTCCATACCAATATGTTCGACAATGTTTTTGTATGGAGAAAATAAGCAACACACCTTCATCAAAACGATTTATTTTAAATCAAGGGTAAAGAAAACTTAACTAAATCAAACTTGCACTTTAACATTCTAAAATTAAATGGCCCACAAAACTGCATACCTAAAAGTTTTTTAAAAATGATTTTGATAAATTACGTTATTTGTAGAATTTAAAAAATTTGTATCAAAAAGGGGAGGCAGAAAATATAAATCGATTTCGAAAAACAA